AGGTTTTGGTTTTTCGTACTGGAAGCCTGTTGAATCAATACAGCAATAATGTTACAGGTTTCATAATTCTCTGGCATTCATTGTTCACTCCGTGCAGCGTAACCTGAGGATTTTACACAATTCTGCTCAGAATCCTGGTTTTGAAATCGGCCTCTTTGGTCGCTTGCAGACTAAAAACACAGAGGATACACATGCACTGATCGCCCGACATCTTGTGAAATTTGGAGAGTTCCCAATCTTGGTTTATGCGACTCGAATAGTCAATCCAATCTTCGTCGTGTCTCTTGGTTATGGTAATACATATGTACCGAATATTGAAAAGCGAGGTATGCTCCCCCATATATCCGCGACACAATCGCTACCACTTCGTCCAACGGTAAATCAATGCTTTTCTTCGGTAAGATGAAGTATGTGAACTTTTATACGCGACCATACCCAGTTTACCTAGCATAATGCGAACTCACTTGTCTTCCAATAGAGTGGACCAAATTAACATGAAATATGTCTTTATATTGTAGAACCACGAGGAAAACGTGATGCCCAAATCTGAATCATAATGCAGTGAAGCAATTTACTGCATCAGAGTTACTGGTAAAGGGGCCCTTTCAATTGCCGCTGATACTGACAATTTCTGGGTCAGTGCCTCAATCGACTTCGTCTGCGCTTCTTCTAACCGTGCTTGTTGTGCCTGCAAGAGAGCTTGGGGTTGTTCAAAACTGACAGACAATTTGGGTTCGTCTGGACGTTCCGTCGCCAACTGCCGTATCGCTGGACCTGTCTCCGCTCACTGTCTGGTGTCGCGTCCAACTCAAGCGGAGAAAATCCAGAAGAGACAACTTCGCTGACCAGGATGGATTAGAAATATTCATGGCTACTTTTACAGGTCAAACATACTTCATCACACTGACATTTCGGATGGAACCTTCTGAACCGTATGCCAAGTACTCAGCCGCGCCCGTGGGACCATTGACAGCTCACACGGCTGAGTTATCCGTCCCACTAGTGGTTTGACGCCGAAGAATTTTCTCCCATGCCGCGGCTTAGCAATGTTGACACGGTCCACATGATGCCCACGAGTATGACTGGGTATTCGGTTCGACCACCGACGAGGGCAAGAGTTCGCATGCCTAACGAGCCCATGCTTTGCGCGAGAAAGTTCAACCCAGTAATTACGCCATTTTGCCTCTCCTACATAGTCTCGATTTAAGCGGAACTAATAATTGGTGACCCACGTGAGACATTGGCCTATGCAGATGTTTATCGTTACACCAATCTGACTTCACGCATTCCCTACTATCAAACATAAACGTAGATTCTTTGGCACCATGACCACAGACCGTTTTACTCAGGTTTAAGCACAGTTTACGTTTCGCAGGACCACACACCAACAAACCACGTTTTAGCTTTTGCCAGTTGCATTACCACGAGAAAACTAGTTACTCTGTATTCACAGGATGATGTTAAGCCTTTTGCTAAACCAAAGCATGCAGTCACCCTGACGAAACCACTATTTCCGATCCAAAGCGTCTGGTACAATGGTTAGCAAGGATTCAATTGACGGACACACTCCTTTCCCAGTTTCTCAGACGTCACAGTGTGTTAGGTGATCGCAAACTGGATGACGCGTTATTCGAGCAGTTGGTGCTGAAGCGCTTTACCACACAGGTACAAACTACTCTAGTCAACAGCGCTGACAGTGATCCCCTGACGCAACTCGCTAGTATCGCTGACAATATTGTAGAAATCCAGTATATCATATCCATGTCAATGAAACACAGTCTAGTGAACCAGAGTTACTACCATATGGAGGATTTGAGTAAGCAGATACCGAACTTCGATTAAAACAATTTACACTACGCCGTCCTACTAGTACCTGTTCACGCACACGAACAAAAAGCATTCTTCTTCGCGGCATGCTTTCACTATTTGTCAGTATCATAGTCTTTTCGGGTCTTCAGCCAGTTAATGCACTCAACCCCCGCTCTTCCATCAAACGCAGCCGCCAGATAACGAACGGGCCAGACGATAGAGACGAGCACCGACATTGGCCAACAGCAATTCAACTTTTCCTGACTCATCGTTCGTAATACCGGTTTCCGTTTTCTTGTCGATACTAGTGCTGACATAAGCGCCATACTTCCAATCTGCTCTTTTGTTAACCGCGCTTCATTCACGATTTGTGTAACAGCAATTAATGGAACCAGTATTAAAATTACAGTGAATAAAAGCTTCTACGGCAACCATGGTCTACGGCAACAATTCGGTTGGATATTTATCATTTCAGAAGTACATCAACCCATATTCGGAGCGGAGTACTTGACACATTCCAACTTGCTAGTCGATCTACAACACCAGCGTTAGCTAGATGTCAACACGCAGCTTTGCGTTCCTGGTAACATAGCGCGCACACCATCTCTGTAATAACGCTTTTAGCACAGAACTCTTTTCTATACTACAAAATACGTCATCGATTTTCGTCAGTTGAGTACCACACATTCTGTGTCATCACGTCACCACCAGTAGTACTCCAGTTTTCTTACGTCCGCGAAGTCTACATCCGGACAGACTAAAAAGAGCCAACGACGAGTCTCAACACATGTTCCAGATAGGAATAATTCGACCATTTCAACACATATGGACATCACCGTTGCACATGGTAACAAAGAAAACCGCATCCGATTGGATACCTTGGGGCGACTGTAAAGCACTTTACAGCATCGTCATTCCTTATAGATGCTACATTCCACACATCCATGATTTTTTTATAGAATGTTCTTGGGTGTATTATTTTTGCACATCACCATCATCGGCACCATGCGCGCTTATCATCCGTATACATTTTGACAATATTCATAAGACAGCTTATCATAAGTCCATTTGGTTTGTACGTAATCCATTTAGTTTACGTAGCGCTGCACAAAAATTTCAACGCTTTATGGGTCTGGCACTTTCAAGCCTATCATTTGTGTTGCTTATCTTGACGACAATATGGTTACAAGTACTACGGAATTGAATACTTGAAGCATCTAGAAACCCTATTCACAGGTCTCATCTAGCAACGAGTGTCTGCTTATCTTTCTTGAATTTTCTTGGTCATACCATATCGCATTAGCAATTCGTCAACTGCCGAGAAACTTGATGGCATGAGAAAGTTGCCTACATGCAGTTCCGTGAAACAGCCGAAGTCTTTCTTAGGCACGCTGTACATATACTGCGGTTTCATCCCAAACGTCGCATACGTCTTATCTCCACTCACGAACTTGTTGGTTGGTGATCGGAAGCATTTCCATTTCACTGACACAACTGCACGTGCCTCTGAAGAGTTCAGATATTTTCTGATGTTTTTCTATCCGCAGCTCGATCTTTCGCTGTAGTTCAATGCTGATGCAGCAAATACTGCTATCGGAACTCTCTTGTAGCAACTCGTCAATAAAGTCTAACAAACAGTTCGATACTCATCCTACAAGTTCACGCCAATCGAAAATCTGTACAGTACATTTGCTTTTGCGTTACTCGCCATATAGTCAAGTATTCGCCACATTCGAGATCTCCTAGAAGGAAAACTTTGCTTCATTTACACATCACAAGCCCTTGGTATTCGCTTTACAGGCATCGCTAAATAAGTACTCACCCAGAGAAATATGTCAGCTGGACTTCATTTCACAGTACACCAGTGATATCCGCTATATTCTTCGATGTGATAACATTGTCACTGATACACTGTCACATCTACAATTTGATGATGATGACGGTTCGATCGATCACAATCATAAATATAGCGGCAGATCTGAAAATCCAAGAACCCATCTTGCGACATGCACATACACTCTCATACCTACATATATTCATGTAAACTTGTAACGTTCCTGTGTGTTTACAAATCATTCGCTTAGTGTTACCAGGACCATGCCTACGCAGGCATGCATCGAGAGGCGTTAGGGAAACGATCAAGCGAATAGCATACAGTTCTAAAACCACCACAAATTGTGATGCAAATAATCGCTCGCTTGAGGAGCACTTGACTAAACCGTATACGCCGAAGTGCTATATCGGAAAGACAGAGGCAAAGTTCATGGATATGTCTGCATTTGAGTCATAATCGTCAAGGTGGAAGATAGCGTAAGAATAAGATAATGACAATAAAAGTAAAAGGCAGGTAACACCATCGTGTCCGCCGAAACGGTAAAGCACAAAGTAAGAGAGAGCACATTGGATCTGTACAGCGGGATGTTTGGGAGGGGAATTTCCGGATCCCGGAGGACTGACCACAAGGTAAAATAGAGGAAAGATGTGGATCAATAGATAGCGGGCACAGTCTCTATAGATTCGAATGCGACGCAACTGGGTCCGGCACTCTGCAACGAAAAGTTGGAACGGATATCAGAAAATATGTGTCCCTAAAGTGGGATAATGACTAAACGCAACGAACGGATCATTGTGCATGCTGTGTCATGTGCGTAATGACCCTAATGAAATGCTGGCACATGGGGAGAAGTGTTTGATTCACCGGCCAAAAACATGTACGATGGTGAGTTCAAAGAAAGGTGCCAATCGCAACAATGGAATCCGTTTCTACAAATCGACTACTAGCTTAAATTGTAAGGAGCACTCACCGAAATTCATGTACTCCTCGCAAATAATGCCATATATCCCTTTGAATTTACCTTTGCAAGGCATTCCTAGTTTATTTATTTCTACTGATAAGCACTTCAAAGCTGTTTCTTGCCTACATTGATACTATCGTTCACTATGAACTGAAACCATGAAACACATTGAAATTGACCGATGAATTTGAACTGAGCGTCAGCGGGGGATTTAAATACTGAATTGGCCAATAAGGTTCCATCCCCGCTTAAAGGGTGAGATTGCATCGGTTTTCTTCGATGGGATAATAATTAATGGAGGCAGGCAAGGAAAGCCTTTGCATAAACAGTAGGAACCCCACTAACAGAATTTGCCACCAGTACATCTATCTGACCTTATCCATGAACATCATGAGTGTGTGAAATTGTAACGCACATAATAGTATACATATTACTAAACCATATGTTGAAAAGACTCCTCTACGAGCCCCTCTAAGGTGATAACACTTTTAGAAAAACGCATACCGGTTGATCTATCCCTACATGGGAACAGACTCTTGCATTGTCAAGAAACAAGAGTTACTTAATTATTTATTAAAATGTGAACACCATAGAGGCGCAAAACAAGCCTGAAGCGTCACCTGCGCCTACAACTGGTTATCCTAGTGGTGACAAAATTACCAGCCTCGATTCTTGATGGACGCCTAACTGTGGAAGGAAAATCGTGGGTTAGGCAACAACAGGCAGGCTCATGATCAGGAAGGGGCTGTATGGACCACATATTCACCTTGAGGCAGGTGCTAAAGAAGAGCCACAGGCAGAGAATAGCTGTGTTCCTCGACTAAAAGAGTGCGTTCGATTCAGTCGGTCGAAGCATTCTGTTCGAGCTAATTGCGCGAAAAACTGTTACCATTTTATGTGCTCTGCACTCGAACATTACAGTCCGCGTCAGGGTGAACCGTGATGTGGTGGATGCCTTTCTGAGAACGAGTGGCGTTCCTCAGGGTTATCCAATTTCCCCAATGTTGTTCAATATTTTGGTAGACTCTGTCATAGAATGCTCCAAAGCAGAGCCTCACGTTCCCGGCGTTTAGGTGCTGACTCTTGAGAAGATGTCTGATCTTTATGATGCGAAGATAAGGCGCTGGAATGCCAAAGTAATGGCACAGAAAAAAAACCCTGAATAACTTTACAATTATACGAGTCAACTGAATCCAAAACGGAATCAAACTCCTCCCTAAGCATATTTAGCTGAGTCCACCAGCGCATCAAGTTGAATCTAAAGTGGCGCACACGCACAAATGCGTGCCCATCGTCTTGACCAATTGCAAATCAGTGCAAGAGTACTCAGAACATCTGCATCGGTTGGTGCAGCGGTTAGCTTTGCGCTCAGCCAACAAACCACGTGATGCACACGCGGACGTGAAAACAACACGTGAGCTCAGTCACTGTAGGATGCGGTGCGGACTAGCACGCGGCATCTATGGATGGTTGAGGAAGTACTGTAACTCCCACCCACTCACTTGTGCGGCATCAAGACACGCAACACAGAACTGGAGGGCCGGAGATATTCCATCCGCGTTCACAGTGCTCACTGTTGCGCGCAGACGACCGGACGTGAAATGTGCTCTACAATGAGACAGTATCGATTGCCTTCACTGAAGTTAGCTGCATGCAATCTAGCAGACATGTCCGTCAACCTCACCTGGTTTGACCTATGCTTAGCGGTGTCTAAGTGTGATCGATTGTGAATAATATTGCCTAGGTGAAATAATGCGTGCGGTGCTTCACTACGCGCTACCATGGAACAATGCGCTAGTAATCGGTGTGTGTGGCCGGATTACCTGTTAACTGCAGTTGATCGGCCTTAATGATGAGGTTAGCATCAGCATCTGCACAGCAATGCATGATGTACTGCAGTGAGCTATGCGGAAGGGTACCGCGTAAATTGTGATAAGGTTACCGGGTTGGCAACAGCTTGCATTTACTGGTCTATATGCAATCGTTAGTATATTGCAGCCGTTGACATGGTGAACGAATACGTTTGTAAAGAAGCGTCATGAGTTCGTGTGAAACGAAGATGAAACGATGATCTATGTTAACGTTAGCGCACTCCTCACCAAGGTGCCAAAATGCGACGCACTGGGTATGGTGAAACGCTGTTTGACTGAAGAGATTAACCTAGGGAGTGGCCGAAGCTTAAGGTGGTTGAAACAACCGACATTGCGCCGTATATTGTTTTAGCTCGGGTTTCAGTCGGAAGTAGGCACTCAAGAACATGGTGTTATCATTAGATCGTCAATGTCCACTATTTTGTACATAATACTGGCAAACTCCAGTAAATGGCCAAAAGTTGTTGGTATCAAGTGGATGGCACATTTTGAACATAAAAGTGGATAAGAAAAGCTAGTTTTTGAGGAATCTGAAATCGCTCACCATGGAGTTGCACATCGCCATTCCTTGACTGCTCTGTTTGCAAGAATGATTAGCTTCCAAACCGATATTTCGTCAACCGGCGGACACAGATGGGACACAGCACTACAATTCCGGTCTCTGTGTTTCACAGATAAGGCCATGTGCACAGAGGAAGTTGGGAACGCCGCTTGCAAGTAGACAGTAATGTAATTGCTGAATAGTGGACGCCCGAAACCGTTAGTGAAACACCCGTTTCACAATATTCTAAAACCACATTGAAAATATACGGCGGAATGGATTGGAACGATAAGAATATTATAGGTAGAGGGAAGTTCCTTTTTCTTTCCGACGGCACTAACCAAGGAATAAGATTCGGGATCTGTTCAACAGTGGTGTATCTGAAAGACACACTTCTCGTAGGTAAGATGACTAACTGCGTTGACAAACGTATTCGCAACAACTGTGAATATGTGTGTATAGGACATACCGCGAGCAAACTGCACACAACACTGCTAGAACACCTGAGGCGCAAGTCATGGCGACGTCTAAGTATAATGCTCTACTGTGAGATTCAGCGGTGGCGACGCACGTGTTAGGTACAGTGCATGTAAGGTGGCCAGATTATTCGTGAGCCAAAGCGAGACGCTTCCAGATTTCTTGCGCGCCAAACCGGGACACTTAACCTACCCCCGTTTGTTTCTGCATATGCTGACCGTACAACAAATTGAAAAGATAAATATCTACATTTATTGCTTCAATGCAATAACAAAAAGTACTTACGTTATTAGTCAGTACAATGGCTGCGCTACTGAAGTTATAAATAAATAAATAAATAGTATATTCTCGATAGAAGGAGGCAACCAAGTGAAGGCATGATCAAATATACCTACAAGCATAGCTGCTTTGGAACAGTAAAACGTGTTGTTAAAATAAAGTAAAACCAAAATTTTCGTAGTTTATACACTTGAGAAGTTCGTCGGATAATAGTGGGATCCAGGAACATTATGGCGCTGGTTCGCGAAAATATCAAGGTTACTACTATGGTGGCAATAGCCAACGTTCGGCGTGATTTCACCATGTTGTAATCCATGGTTTCATGAGCACAGGAGCCAAAGTAACATGTCGGTACAAGTGTTTCCGATTAAAAGTTGATGTGCTGCTTGACATAATATTATCTGGAACCACAGTTATCGAGCAATACTGAAATAAAGAAAAATGTTTTGTTCTCGACAGTGCGAGACACGCCTGATCACGCATGATCATGGTGATACAACAAGGACTGGTTAATGTAAAAGCGACACAAGTTTATAAGTAACATATGGATCCATGTGTTAAGTGTGCATGAATGCATGTAGGTAAGAACGAGTGTTGTTGTGTTGCTTGAATTTGTGAATGTGACGCCGTATTTGTGATTGTTTTCGGTCAGGCGTAAGAAGAAGAGAAATGAAATCTTCGTATTGGATGACCCACGTCCGTGGATTGGGTTAGATCATCCAGATACGTAAGAAGCAGTGACTTTAGTTAGCGGCGAGTCACATCCGCCACGTCACAGTGTTGTTAAACGGACATTTGTGGCGTTTTATAGAAAAAAACGCCAGGCGAAAACCCACCATCTTCTGAAACACTGCCGCTGAACTATTTGCTGGAAGTGGGTAAACCCGAACCGACCAGCTGACACCACGAAGAGGTTGTTCGGCTAGCCCGATGAATGCATTTTTCGTAGTAGATCTGGGCGCTGCATCAGCATGTCGTGAAGTCGTTCGCAAGCATACCTGGCACTCTTGTCCTCAGAACTGCATTTCACCAAAGTATCGATTTCAGTAGTTAAACGCTAAGCTGCGTTGTCCAGAATCTACTTCGACTCAATGTGGACAAATGTAGAGTGCTGCATCTGGGGCACAAGTTGGTTCATTCCCACAAACTCGGCAACCAGGAGCTTCAAACGTCTTCTGGCGAGAAGGATCTGGGAGTTTTGTCCAGGTTGACCTTGGATGTTCGAATCAGACTGAAACGGCGTCAAGGAGGGGCATCCAACACGTAGGCCTCCTGAAGTATGCACTCGGACGATTCGACCCTTCGATTTTTCCACAACTTCTGGGCTCATACATACGGCCACATGTGGAATACGCCATACAGGTTTGGCAGCCATGGCTGAGGAGAGATCTCACCGCCTTGGAGATACCCCAACGCCGGGCAATCCAGAAACTTCAAGGATCTGTATAATTTGCCGTATGAACGAAGGCTTCGAGTGCTCGGGATCTTCAGCCGACAATATCGGCGATTGCGCGGAAACCTCATTTTGGCTTACCATATTTTGAGAGATCCCAACCACACGTGCCGCCATTTGCTAGAGCTCA